ATTAGAGACTCAGGCAGACACTTTGCTTAGCTGGGAATTGTAGGTTTCATCTGAAGTAGAATCAACTGTCTGCACCATCTAAATTTAGAAAATTACATTCATTTCTTTGGTCTTAGTGATCAGTAAAGCATTATTTTAAGAGATTACCATGGGAAGACTTCTTGAAATCTAAACTGAGCCTCATTCATGCCTTCTGAAATAGATTTCAGAAATCGTTGTTGAGTCATATAGAATCATCTACATTCACTTTGATCAATTTTACACTTAAGGCTCCAATATCTTTTGAGTCTGTACCAGACCTGTAGGCTAGACCAGGAAGTCAAAAAAACGTTCCAGTATAAGGCAGTGGGAAACTGCTTCTGAACTGTTGCCAAGAAAACTCTCTGTTGGGGCCAGAAAGATTAACATAATTTCAAAGTGTTTTCACTAACTTTATTGCATTATTTAAATGAGAAGCTGGCTGTGTATTCCATGTTGGCAAATTACATGTGAAACAACAGTAACTATACTTGTGATAAAAATAGGAGATTTTGGATTAAAATATGGATTAGCAAGAATGAATTATGGCTCCATATCCTTGCCTATAGTAGTTGCCCATAGTTGCAGTTCTCTTTAATGTGAATTATTGTACTTCAAATAATTGCATATGCTTAAAAACAGCAAGCACAGAAAGGAATCCCTAAGATCACTGGAAAATAGCAGGAATCACCAGGTATGGTGTGGGACTATTGTGTGGTTCACATAAATAAATACTTGGATCCCCTGAGATCATGTCCATTCAGCATGAAGAATATCATTCACCTCCCTAAAGAAAAATGAATATTTACCCATGTGAACTGCCATGTAACCTATTTTAATTGTCTTTTTTTTGTTTTTAAATAATCTGCGCATTATATTCTTTATTTTGTACCAAGAAAATTTAGGAAAGGAGCAATTTATCACTGGCAGACCTATATTTTATCCAGGAGGTACAAGTAGTCCTTGCTTAACAACTACAATTGAGAGCGGAATTTAGGTCACTAAGCAATGCAGTTAAGCGAATCATCACGTGACTAGATCCAATTTTATGACCTTTTTTGCACCAGTCATTAAGTGAATCACCACAGTTGTTAAGTGAATCATCAGTTCCCCATTGATTTTGCTTGCCAGTAGCTGGCTGGGAAGGTCGCAAATGGCGATCATGTGACCCTGGGACACTGCAACCGTCATAAGTGCGAGCTGGTTGCCAAGCGCCTAGATCACAATCACATGACTGTGGGGGCAATGTGATGGTCGTAACTTTGGGCACTGGTCATAAGTCACTTTTTAGCGCCATAACTTCAAACAGTTGCTAAACAAATGGTCATTAAGCAAGGACTACCTGTATATTGATAACACATTTAACAATCAGAGGTAAATGGTGATTGAATTTATTGCCTAATAGTTGTGATTAGGTTCATAGCTTAACCAGTAAGGATATAAAGAAGAAAATGTAATAACATTATCTGACTAAGCTTCAGATATTACTTATAAGCTATGGTTTGCTTAATCATAGTTGGTGAATAAGCCACAGTTGGCTAGGTTTACATAAGCAAAAACCCTCAAACCATATTATGGCTAAGCTGCATGATGTATAAACTCTGCCTTTGTGTGATCATTGAGATAAATGATTTATACTTGTCATTGTTTGAAATTCTTGGAACAGTGTGCTTTAGAGTATATGTTATATTAATTTTAAAGGATGAAATAGGAAAACATTGTATGAAAGCATTGTGATCGTTCAGGATGAAAGGTGAATGGGTTTGGCATGCTTAAACATGGATATGATTGAGAACTACACCTAACCTGATAAACATACCTGATTATGCAAGACTCATTTCATAGAATCAAGTGATACCCACCAGCCTCCATACCCTACTGATTTTATTTTACATGGGAAGCTAGTACCTGTATGATGAAAAACGAAGTGCCACCCTCAAATATTATCTTAATTTGCAAGGATGCTTCTGGGCTACACTTTTATTTTTTACAACTTTTCCTTAAGGAACTCAAGATGGTGTATATGGAATCACCCTTCATTTTATCTTTACAGCCTAGTAAGAACCCTGTGAACTTGGTTGAACATAGAGAAAATGACAGGCCCAAAGTCACCAATTGAGTTCCATAGGAGGGACACGAACCTGGGTCTCCCCAGCCTAATCCAACACCTTAACACCTGCCTTGAAAGATACAAGTAAACCAAAATATTGGAGACCAATGTGAGAGGCTGGAAGGAGTGGTAAGATTCCACCTCAGCTGTTTGTCTTCCAGTAAATGGATATTTTATTATTGGCCATATCTACCACAGAAGCCATTTTATCAGGACACCTAAAATATACTCTCAAAATCCAAAGTGTGTTCATTGGTCAACAATCCTAATACTTTAAAATTATTCTAAACAAAGCTTTCTCAGTAGGTACTTAGTTCTTGTGTCCACTACTTCCCAGTTTCCCTTTTTTACTTCTTTCTAAGTGTGCAATCCATTAAATATAGCAATATTGGAAACATATCTGGAAATCTGGTAACATGCAAATGGAATAACTTTCAAGTGTAAAGTGTAAATCAGGAGTCATATTACATCAGTGTTTATTTTGGATGGAGTAGACTCTCACTCTCAGCTGGGTTTGATTAAATAAATAGTAGATATGCTGCCAAAGTGAGCATGATTAAACAGTAAGTCATTGGCTGCTCTTAACAAAGATAAGTGAATTAGCCCTTGACAGATGTAAAAGTTACTTTTACTTATATTAAACTTGTGATTTTTCCATATGTGTTGTGTTCACTACTATAAATGACTTGGCTCTTAATCTATACCCTTAATTATCTGTTGTTTTTTAAACTGTTCCAGCTTGAATCTGTCCTTCTTTGCACTCTAGCAATTAGCCCTAAATTTACAAACTACTCTAGATTTTCTCTTTCCAGTGCTGAGTACAAATGTATCAACACTTCAAAACTAGTCTATTTTTTCTGATAACTCCTGTATGCAGTTATAGCAAGATCAATTTCTCTTGTAGGTATATCTTCTGGATGTGTAAGATTCTTAATATAAAGTTCTGATTTTTTAAAAGAATGAAAGTGCAGAAACAATTATTGTGGATCATAATAGTAGCAGTGTCCAATGAAGGTGGAATATTGGAACTTGTGTGGGTTTTTTAACCCAAGCTTTCTACTTACAGTTGGGGTTAAAAATTGCCCATTACAGACAGGAAGCTTTATCATACTGGATAGAATTGAGTAATAATGGTCAGTTTATTCAAGCTGGTTTAAGATACTTCTGGCCCCTTACACAACTCTTCCATCTTGTATCAGAACAGGTTAAAAATTGCCCATTACAGACAGGAAGCTTTATCATACTGGATAGAATTGAGTAATAATGGTCAGTTTAGGTTAAAAATTGCCCATTACAGACAGGAAGCTTTATCATACTGGATAGAATTGAGTAATAATGGTCAGTTTATTCAAGCTGGTTTAAGATACTTCTGGCCCCTTACACAACTCTTCCATCTTGTATCAGAACATGTACATTTATCTTCCTTTTCAGATAGCAAGCAACTGAGAAATGTATTCGATTTCAGTCCAAGTTTTCTTAGTAAATATGTTAAAAGTTCATAAATGCACATGCTGGCACTTTGGACTCCAAAGTGTCAGCATTATTATCCTTTCAACAAACAGATCTTTCACCATAACTGTTGTTCTGTGCTACAATAAAAATCATTTTAAAAAAACCTGATACAATAAAATTCTTTAAGAAATTAAAACCCTAAAAATATAAGCTATAGTGTTTGAAGAATAAGGCTTAGGGGGAAAAAGAAAAGAAGTAAGAGACGTATGAAAACTAGTTCTTGGCTCTTGTGTTGATTTATTAATATGGGATCCTGCCAAAAAGTATACCTTAAAAAAAACATGAAAAAATGAAGAATTTTGGCTGACAGTCAGCAAGCCATTGGGTATTGGCCAAGATAAGAGGAAACAAATACTTGTCTGGAATCAATTGATAGTTACTCATAGAACATGCCAACTTCTGAAATGCTATTTTTTGAAAAGAGCTGTAGCCAAAAAGATGCTTGAAACCTAAATATTGCATGCAACAAAAGAAAGTAGCCAACAGCTGTATAGAAAAGTTTAGGCACCTTTGATCAAATTATATGCTTCAATGAATTCCTAACGAACAGAAGCTGGAACAACCTGTACATGTACTAAGTTTAACCCAACATCTTTCTGCAAATTTGAATACATACTTAATATTTAAGTGCAGTTATTTACTGATTCAAAATAAGAAAACAGTGAATATGGCAGGTAGAAAAGCTTGGGCACCCCTCCAATGAGTTTGTCTTTACGATGGCAGATGAATATGACTACATCTCTGGAATATGTTACACATTCTGTTCTGCATGAAGAAAAATGTGGAATTCCTCTCGATTCTAGCTCCAGAATCCAGGTATCCATCAACAGTCTTGGAGCTTTAATGCACAGTAAATGTATTTATTAACAAATCATGAAGAGTATGGATATTCTCTGACAGAATCTTTTGTGGCATTTCTCCTCTTTCAGGTGTGAGTATCAGCTTAGTCAAGACACTGAGGCTTGTCAACTAATCGGTTCAGAGACCAAGAGGTGGCCTAGCCAGGAGCTTAGATACAGAATTAAAACTGCAGGCTGCCCTGGTGGCTCTGTAGCAAGTCTGTCTTGCTTTATAGCTTTCTAGAAGGGTCTTCTGTACTTCTTTCATTATCTTCCAGTCTGTGTTATGATGTTCCTCTTGATTTTCACAGCAAGATAGTGCTGCCTAATAGCGTGCTTTGGTTTGGGCTGCTTTGTGCTTTGTTGCTGGTTAGACTGGGGCATTCTGCAGTGGTGCTTGTAAGCTTCTCTTAACCCAGAAACTTGCCTTTTCTCTCTATTCACTAGACCTTTTGCTGCTTTTTCTTCTTTTTTCCATGACCCTTCTGTCCCTTCATACTTCCTTGCCTCCACTGTCGCAGGTTCGGCATGCCTAGTGGGCTATAAAAAGACACCACCACCGGTCCCACCTCGGACCACCTCAAAGCCGTTCATCTCTGTCACAGTGCAGAGCAGCACTGAATCGGCACAAGACAACTACCTGGACAACCAGGACCACAAGAGTGAAGTCAACAGCCAGTCGGGACTGAGCAATTCCTCAGATAGCTTAGACAGTACTAGGCCACCCAGCGTAACGAGAGGAAACATCACTCCAGCCAGTGAGCCTCCTGAGTTACCCCAGAAAAATGCATCCTTGAAGAGTGACAAAGGAACGTTGACTAACGAAGAACCAAAGGTGGAGAACATCCCCAAAAGGAAGCTGTCGTCTATAGGAATACAAGTATGGACTTGTTTGTTCTCATTAGTACTAGAAGATGACCTTACTGTAACCATTTCTGTAAATGTGCATACCTGTTTAACTGCACTGGGGTCTATACCTACTGCATGTTTCTAGAGCAATTTAGCTTTATAAAACCCTGGGGGCCATTTGAGGAGAAATGCCATTGGGTAAATTAAACAGGACATTAAGGAAGAATTTGATAAAAGTGTGCAAGCTCTGTCTCTGAGGAAGTTATTTCATACTCATATATTCCCTTTAGATCACCACACCTATGTGGAATCTTGTGGAGTATACTCACTCTGATGTGTAGGATGCCACAGAAAAAAAACAGCAGGTAGAACTAAAGTCATCCCTTAAGGTGTTTCTAGAACAGCCTTCTCTAAATTACTTACATTTCCTACAGTGGTCAGTGATTATGGGGGTTGTAATTCAAAATATCTGTAGAGTTTTAGCTTGGAAAAAAACTGCCCTAAAACAAGGGTAGATAATTTCTGGCCTAAGTATACATGGAATCATTAGCAGAGGCATATGGTTGTTCAAACAGGAGCAGGATACCTCTCTGTATTGGTATGGTAAATGTAAAATGTAGATAATTATTTTATTTGAGCGTTGCTGCCATAAAGTTTGGCCATGCTTCTGCAGAAAAAGACAATAGGCCATAGACGAAGTCTAAAGCAGCAGAAGAAGCAAGCATAATTACCTAATCAGGCTTTTAGGAAATTTCCCTACTAATTAGACCACATGGAAGCTTGGAAAAACACTATATTTGGGAGTAAGTGTCCACTTGTGAGCCCCTGAGAGAAAATAATTTATGGGTTAAATAAATTGAAGAGTAATCAAGTATTTAGCCTTCCTTTTTGATGGGAGAAATAGTCATAAAAGGAAGCTCCTGAATCAAAGGTGTATGTATGCGTGTATATGTGTGACTTCCATCTCAGCTCTCCCAAAATGCTGTGTAGAGTGCATGTGCTTTATGAAATCTAACCAGCCTGCTTCTGAAGTAAGATCTTTGAAATAAAAACCCAGTTATTCTGCTTTTCACATCATGAACACCATCACTTGCTTGTTGCTTGTCAGTCAATAAAATGTCAGTTTGGGCTTTGCCTTTGCAGATATTCTAATACAGGAATTTTGAAAAAGATAGTTTACGTGGCCTATTGAAACTGATCAGCATAGCATTCTGCCATGTTTAATAGGGCTTTCTATCCAAGAATCATTTATTTATATTTTGCAAGGAATGCAGCTGCTTAACACCATGGAAATGTCTAGGCAATCTCGTAAACATGATAAGAGTATTACATTATCCAGCTATGAAAAGAGGATTCATTTGGGCACTTTTAATAAATTAATACTTGCTACTTTATAGGGAGTTTTGTGGCCACATTTTCCTGCTGGAGTAGCAGCACTTTAGAAGGATCTTGATGCAAATAGGAATGCTGTAATAGTGTACAGGGACAGGTTTCTCATGGGAGTGAGCAGTCTGGGTGTTTGCGGGATTAACTCCCAGCAGCCCGCCCCCCGCACAACTAGAGGATGAGGCACCCAGGGAACTTGCAGCTTTAGATTGCCAACCTCTCTATAGTAAGTGCCTCTCTCTGTGGCACAAGAGTTTTCCATTTCTGAAAACTAGATGGGGAAGTCAGAAGACACCCAGAAGAAGGCAGCGTTAGCCCTCTTCCAGAGAAGTCCATTAAGTCACCCAGAACGGAACATGACTTTGAGGGAGACGTTACTGTGTTTATTTTAAAAAGTGCCTAGAAGTTAATTTTCCCTTTGTTGCATCACAATTTTAGGATCATTTGTATTACTCTTTAAAATGAAAGGATAGGGAACACTAGCAGGGCTGTTCCTTTTTCTTACTCTCTAAAACGGTCTACTATGGGAGGAAGGGTTGGACAAAATTTAACTGGTAGCTTAGCTAATGCTTCTCTGCAATTTCTTTCCCCTTGCTTAAAAGAGCATACTCAGAGAATAACTGCACTTCCTTCGATGCCATGCCATTCTACTCTTCTATATAATATTTTGATAGATAGCTCTGAAGGATAAGTTTGCTGGGTTTAATAGTAAAGACTTTCCATGTTGAGAAACAAGCTGTAACATGTTTGAATTAGTTGCATCGCCCTTGTTGCACCTGATAATGCCTTCACCAAAAGGCTTTAAGGGAGGCTACAAGCTTTGTTGAGCAGATCTACGTTAGCTTTTGATGCTATTTTGACATTGGCTTTCATTACGCAAGCAGAGAATTGATTCAGTCTGGGTTCCTGCCCCCATTCCCAAAGATTTAGAGTTTTCATGGGTAACAATTAAAAAAAATATTACAATATCAGTTACAAGCAACTTCAATAAATCTGTCTCTAAACCAATTGTACTAAGACCTGTTGAGCAATCTAAATAGCATTTAGGCTGAGATTATTTCCTTTTTACGTGTCTTATTGCAATGGTAAACTTGACTCTAAATTCAGATCATATTAAGTAAATAGGTATATTCCCACTCAGTAGTCTACTTTGACTGCATTTCTGTTCTCATACCTCTAAAATTTATTGTAGGATCATTTTATTTAACAGTATACCTTTATTTAACAGTCTGACCTTTGACTTTTAAAGACAAAATTTCAAATTACAGGTACCTAATTGTTCAGTTAAAAACTAACCTAGTAAACAGAATCTAAAGTGAATGGAAACTGCCTTTTAAAGTTATTTTTTTAATAGGACAGTCAGTGTAACTTTGGCTATGAAGCCAACAGCTTGATTTTTCTTCTTTCCCCACCTCCATTCAGAACTTTTAACCATTCTGAGTCAATGCTGGGCATTAAATATCTGATTGGCTCCATTGCAGACTCTTCCTGATCTTAATAAAGAAATTTTGCTGCCTTTTGGTGTATGGTGTCTGCATGATCACTGTGTGTGTGTGTGTGTTTGTGTGCATGCATGCCTCTTCCCTTCAAATGTGAATTCTAGCAGCAAGTTTTTGTGTTTTTGTTTTTTTTTTGTTTGTATCTTTTTGTTAATAAGGTTGACTGCCTTCAACCAGTGGCAAAAGAGGAGCTCCCTCCATCAGCCACCAAATTCCAGTCCATCGGGGTACAGGTAGAGGACGAGTGGCGGTAAGTGGAAGACACAGGTTTTTTTTTTTAAAGAAAAAAAAAACCATGCAGTTGCAATCTCCCAATTTATAGTTTGGTTTCTTTTTTCCTATTTCAAATCACTGCCGGGTAGTGAAACCCTTTCTCAACGGCAAGCGCTCTCCCCAAAACAAAGAGGCTTAGTCATGTAAGAGAATCATTGGGAGTCTGAACTGAACAATAGAACAGGAGATGTAATTACAGATGCGTGCCAGTTTTTGTTTGGATGGCCTACTGCAGTAAGCAGGCAACCTTATAATTTTGTCTGTCTGCATGTGTGGTGTGTGTATTTGTGTGCAGAGAAAGACGGGCAAGGAAATGCAGTTCAGCTGCAGATGCATAAACAAATACATATTGTTGTCTCTATGTGCTGTGGAATAGATCCAGCCCTCTGCAAGGGCTGCCTTTCCTGATTTTCTCTTGCCCCTCTTTCACTTTATAGCAACAGCCACTCTCACAGCATGTCCAACAAACAGGATACAGATTCTGACTCACAAGAGCTGAATAATTCAACCTGTAAATCATCTGAAAGAAGCCTTCCTGATTGCTCCCCCTGTAACAACTCCAACAACCTCGATGCCAACACAAGGCAAACAGCCATGCCCTCTGAGATCAAGAAAAACCTCTCCTATGGAGATAGCAATGACCCAGCCTTGGAACCTTCCTCTCTCCCACCTCCTGATCCTTGGCTTGAAACGTCCACCAACACTCCATCAGAACCAACACAATCGGGAGCTTGCCGAAGGGATGGGTACTGGTTTCAGAAACTCCTACAGGCAGAGACGGAAAGGTTGGAAGGGTGGTGTCGACAGATGGACCAAGAGACCAAAGAGAATAATCTCTCTGAAGAAGGTGAGCATGGATGATGCTCTGGCTTTGATGAGATTTGAAGCTTAAAATGGGCAAAACCTTTCCATGCCTCTAGCATGTGAACAAGTACAAAGCTGGACCCAGAAGCTAATTATTGGAAGGAGGGCTATTTCTATACTCTAGGGATTGTGCAGAAGAACAGCAGAACTCCTTATATCTTATTCCTATTTTTTTTCTTAGACTTCAGTTGTGATTAACCATAGTCAGTGCAGCAAAACGGTTGTTCCTGTGTGATAGGGTGTGCCATTTCTTTGCTTTCACTGATACTCTGGACAGAAATGTTGCATCTTTCTTTTGTTTAGGATCAATCCAGGACAGTGGTGCCATCAGCACTCTATAATTCTAAAGAAAGTTAAATGTACAGTACATGGAGTTTTAAATAGGATTTTTTTTTCTGAAATCTTTCACTGGGGTTGGGAAGAGAATAGGCAGGGAAGTTCTAAACTTCTTTTTGGCAACATACCAGTTTCTAAAATATTTACTTGTTACAGAATATAGGCTGTTGGACTCTATTCACATGTCAAGGTTGAGAAATCCATGTTGATTAGAAGCCCTCAGTCACAAACCTGTGTTTAGAAAGTTGGATGCTTGAATGTTCACTTTGTAGCCTCAAATACTACGAAGAGGCTTTTGGGGGAAATAGCATTGGAAATCAATTTTCTCCACCTCCCCTGAAGTCTCCACTGGCACTCTATATTAAACAAAGAGTCTTGCAGCACTGTGGCTGCCTGCCATTTCTGTACAGGGAATTGATGCTGGCAGTAGAAAAAACAAGGGCTAACCAAACATGCACTGACAAAGAAGCCAGAAGTCATTTGTAATGGCTTGCCATTAATGGCTCTGAGCGAAAAATATTTCTGTTCTTGGAAGGGAAAAAAAAAGATAAATATGCACAAAGGTCATAAGGAGGTCTTTTTACCTTAAATCTCCTTGCATGTTCTGTTTTTAAATTCCTTCATTTGATTGACTGCTTAAGTTTTCTTTTTCTCATATTCAGTCTTAGGCAAAGTCCTCAGTGCAGTGGGCAGCGCACAACTACTAATGTCACAGAAATTCCAGCAATTCCGTGGCCTCTGTGACCAAAACTTGGTGAGTCTAACAAATCTCTGTTGTGTGTATAAATAAACCTCCTTCCCATAGCATGGTATATAGTTTTACACCACTTTGGGATGGTCATTTAACTGGATTCAGGGAGAATACAGGTAATATCGGCCTGCCCCCAGCGACTGATGGACCTGGAAGGGTTCCAGAGGGAGCTGGGGGTTGTTCCTGATGGCCTATTGTACAGGCCAACTGAGGCCTTAGTCACCGTTTGGAAGAGAGGGTGGCTGTGGCCTTGGATTGGATTGCACCCATGCAACCTCTCCCTTTCCGTGGATCCCACCACTCTCCATGGTTTACAGAAGAGCTAATGGGAGAAGAGACATCTAAAGCTCCACTGAAGGTCAACAAAGGATGAACTCAACCGAACATGGGTGAGAGCTACTATTAAGGACTACCTTGTGGTGGTAAGGGTGGCGAAGCAACAGTACTTCTCCACCCTTATTGTGTCTCTGGATTGCTGCCCAGTGGCCTTGTTCTGGGTGACCCAAGCTCTTCTGGGCAGGGAGGACCTGGAGATTCACCTACAAGGCCACGCAGAGGAATTTTCAGAGCATCTGTCAGATAAAATTACTCAAATTCATTCCCAGTTAGATGCCAGTCTTGGTGCAAGTCCCATGGATGTGCTTTGGGCACAGTCTTGCCCTGTTATTGGGAGTGGTTTGAACCAGTTGGGCCTGAGGAAGTGGACAGGATCCTTATGACTGTGAGGTCAGCCACTTGCTCATTAGATTCGTATCCCTCCTGGTTGGCTAAGGCTGCCCGGGGGGTGACATGTGGGTGGGTTCTAACAGTAGTGAATTCATCCTTGAAAGAGGGGATTGTTCCTTTGCTTCTTAAGGAGGCATTGGTTCACCCCCTCCTCAAGAAGCCATCACTGGATCCCACCATACTGGACAACTTCCATCCAGTGTCCAACCTCCCTTTTTTAGGGAAAGTTGAGAAGGTGGTTGTGCAGCAGCTTCAGTGGACCCTAGATGAAGCGGATTATCTGGACCCCTTTCAGTCAGGATTCAGGCCTCAACATGGAACAGAAACGGCATTGGTTGCACTTTTGGATGATCTCTGGTGAGGGTGGGATGGGGGTTGTGTATCCATCCTGGCACTTCTTGACCTCTTGGTAGTTTTCGATAACCTCAACCATGGTATCCTTCTGGATCAGCTCCATGGGTTTGGTGTGGGTGGCACAGTATTGGGCTGGTTCTCTTCCTTCCTACAGGGCCGGTACCAGTCAGTGTTGTGGGGTCCCACAGGGTTCGGTACTCTCACCACTCCTATTTAACATCTACATGAAACCACTGGGGGAGATCATTCATCACTATGGAGTGAGGTTATCATCAGTATGCTGATGATACCAAATTATACAGCTCCTTCCCTGGCAAAGTAAGTTATGCTGTTGATGTCTTGTCCCAGTGCCTGGAAGCTGTGGGAGTCTGGATAGGTAACAGGCTTCAAATAAACCCTGGCAAGACTGAGTGGCTTTGGGCCTTAGAGCCTTCTGGATCTGGGACTTTACTATCTTTGGTGCTGGATAGGGTGGCACTACCCCAAACAGACTGAGTGCACAATATGGGGGGTCCTTCTGAACTCATGACTCCTGCTCGAGGAACAGGTGGCAGTCATGACTAGGAGGGCCTTTGCACAACTTCGTGTTGTGCACCAGTTGTGCCCATTCCTGGATTGTGAGGCTCTGCTCACAGTTACTCATGCCCTGGTCACTTCCTGAATGGACTACAGTAATGTACTGTACATGGGGCTGCCTTTGAAGAGTATCTGGAAGCTTCAGCTGGTGCAAAATGCAGCAGCATGGGCAATTATGTGTGGCTCTAGGAGGACACGCATCACACCTCTGCTCTGTGACCTGCATTGGTTCCAGTTTCTTTCTGGGTGCAATTCAAGGTGCTGGTTTTGTCCTTTAAAGCCCTACATAGCATGGGACCAGGTTATTTGAGGGACTGCCTCTCCCAATTACATTTACTGGTCCCACCAGATCTGGCAGGAGAGGCATGTTGCAGGTCCTGTCTGCTAAGGAGTTCCATCTGACAGGACCTAAGAGACACGCCTTTTCTGCTGTGGCATCCGCCCTTTAGAGCATCGTCTCCCCTGAGGTGAGGTTGGCCCCAACCCTTATGGCCTTCCAGAAAGCTCTCAAAATGTTTTTTTCATCAGTCCTGGGGATCCCCTGGCAGCAGAGAGCCCACACATTGGCTGTACCATGTATAACGTTCAGATTTAAACCCTCTCAGGAACTTGTTTTTATTTAATTATTTAAATGCCTTAAGTGGTTTTATAATACATTTATTATTGTTTATATTTTTGTATACCGCCCAGAGTCACCTTGTGTGAGATGGGTGGCCATATAAATTTGATACATAAATAAATAAATAAAATGATGTAAAAATATATAATGAAAGGAATAGCTGTAGCACCTTCCCAACCCCTCACAACAATGAATACACTCAAAAACATCACCTAAAGAAAATTATACCACTCTGAGAATGTGATGGATAATCAGAAAATGCAAAAAGAAAAAAAGTAGGATACAACATAATATTAATTATTTTGAGTACAAATAATTGATCACTTGTAATATGGGCCTGCACTACCCTCAAGCATTTCTTTGTCTGTCTCTCTCACACATGCAAAAAATTGGGTCTGCTAAAATTATTAACTATATATTATTAAAGGACACAAAATACAGTGTATGGATAATTTCTGAGCTGCTGAAATGTAACTAACTGAATATAATTGAGTAAAATGCATACGCATATGAAAAAATACTCCTTAATTAGGTAATAGGCCTGTTTGGGGATTCCATTGCAGAATGGAGAAACAGAGTTTATAGAAATGTACTTAATAAAGCAGGAGTGAGTGATGAGCAGCAGAGCTCTTTAGGGGTTTTAGGATGTTTTAGACTTCTTTCTCCCTGAAATCTCATTATGGTGGCAGAAGATACTTTCCCTCCATTATCAAATCAAATCTGTATTATTTATGGCCATGGACCAGAAGTCAAACACCATGAAATATATAAACACACACACACACACACACACACACACACACACAC